TGAGAACACAGTACATGAGGTAGGCCTAACTACTGCAAGAAAGGAAAAGGCTCTTCCTAGTCAACTACGAAGGAAACACAAAAAAATGGACGAAGTAGATTTGCAGATTTTAAAAGCTTTGGACAAAACAGAGCCTGAGATACCGAACCCCCAAATGTCCTTCTATCACAGTCTACTGCCGCATACAGAGAATTTTAATAGTGATGAGTGGCTCCAATTCCAAATGGAGGTTCTTCGGGTCATTTCCAATATTAAGAATCAAAAGGTTCCAGCTCCTCACTACCAAGGGTACACTACACAATCCTCTTCGCAGCTGCAGCAACATTGCCAACCAACGCCTTACCATCCCCAACCACAGTCCTTTCCACAGCCACTTCAACAACCTTTTCCTAGCGTTCAACATTACTCAGAACCTCCACATCTCCTACCTTACAACCCACCACTGTAGTGCACACACTACAGTGTGACTGAAAATATCTTCATGAAGTTTGGCAGAGATGATTCATCTTCAATTCGAACTGTACAAAATTTGTTTTCATCAACCACGTCAAGAAATCTAGCGTACATAAAATCAAATTTCAGTGTGATATCAAAATCCATCATTATACTTGAAGCAGTGGGCATGCAACTGTGCAATGCATTACAAATTGTTAAGAAAGTTGAAAGTGAACTACATCAAGCACAGGGCGAAGTTGCTGTGAAAATTAGTGCAAAATTACAAAATGTGTGCCAACGAAATCCTGGATATTCAACACTGTGTACAATTTCTGACATTCTTTGTGGCAAAGAAGTTGAATTTGACAACAGTGAATTAGAACTTGACGCAAGTGATTTGACTTGTTTTAAGTATGCCCCTGTGACATCTTGCGACGTAGAAAGGAGTTTCTCCAAATACAAGTTCATTGTTAGTGACAATCGGAGGTCCTTCAAGTTCGAGAATTTGAAAATGCATGTTGTCATTCAGTGCAACTCTACTGAAAAGGAAGATCACGGTGCCGTACAAATTATTTACCTGCAACTATTAGCACACTTTACTTTACTTTTCACGCTAAAATAAACAGTACTTTCGTTCATGTTTTCTCTGAACACACGATGCTGACAGGGTCAGCATTGTGTTGTGATGGATGCTTCACGGCTTAAAGACATTTATTCAGAAAAAAATAACTTTGTACACTTTTCAATAAAACGCCATTCAGCTTTTCTCTTTATGCGGTCAGCAATGTGCTGTGATTGATGCTTCAGAGCTTGAAGATATTTATTCAGGACAAAATAACTTTGTAAACTTCTTAATAAATTGCCATTCTTAGGAATTTTTGTTAAATATTTACTTATTTTTTGTGGGCCATTCTGTCATATTTTGCCATTTTTAGGGCATAAATGCATGCATATTTTCAAAGTTTTTAGGTCATAGAAATCCGAGCCCTACTTATAACCTTACCCCGAACAACAAATTTCAGGAAATTTTCAAACTGCAAAGCCTTTGCCACATTTCCACCCGGGCTGAGGCATATAGAACGCAGAGTGGCCTTACGCAGTGTCACAACTGCCAACAGTTTGGCCACGTATGGGGTAACTGTAAGCAACCTCCCCGTTGCATGTGGTGTGGGGGTGGCCACCTGCACAGTGTCCAGAGAAAGAGAACTCTGCAGCCACTCCAGCTTGTTGCAATTGCCAGTTGAAGGAGGGAGAGAAGCCCCATCCCGCCAACTATCGGGGCTGAACACACGCGGAGGAGGAACTGCAGAAAAAATCACAGAGCACCCAAACCCAAAACGGGAAGGGTGTGCTCCTCAAATATCATTACTCCTGGTGTCTCCTTCGCGGCGGCGCTCTGAGGCAGCACAACACAGGAGCAGCGGCCTCAAACTCGCCAAATACCGGTGGCAGTTCTAGGAGCAGCCATGAAACCGAGCGTCCCGGTCCCTGTACAGGAACAACAAACAGGTCAGTCAGTTCAGGCTCCTCATGTCAATCTCTCGACAATATGTTGAGTGTTGTGACTGTAGTACAGCAGATCATGACAGAGGTTAGTGGTGCAGGGTCTGAGAACAAAATAATGGCCATTACGAAAATTGTAGTAAACCTCATGAAACAAAATGACCACAAGCGTCCATATGCCACTCAAAGTCATAGCATTGGGAGGCAGCGCAATAAGCTCAGTAAACAGCTGCAAGATCTACATGAAGATGTGGCCCTGTTTTTAAAGACATCTGAAACCTCATGAGAGATTCTTTATTCCAAACTACAAATTTTATAGAACCGATCACCACTCGGGAAGAAAAGGCGGAACTGCCGTTGCAGTTAGAAAAAGCATCTCCCATAACCATGTACACCCACCACCCCACGTTTCAGTGAAGCGACAGGGGTCTGCATACGAACTGGTAATAGTGAAGTGCTGCTTGCAACTCCTTATGCTCGTAAATCCCCAGGCAGAGCCTGAAGTACTGCTGACATCACTGGGCTCTTAAGCTTTAGATGTAAGTCTATTTTGGCAGGTGATTTGAATGCTAAACACCCATTTTGGAACAGCAGAGTGTCAAACCCCTCAGGCGATAAATTCATGGTTTTATTTGATAGGAGCGAATTCGAAAGTTCAGCACCACAGTTCCCCACTCATAATTCCCCTGCGGAAAATGGTGACGTGCTGGACATTGCGGTTCAACAAAATATCAGAGTGTGAGATGTCATCGTCTCTGATATTTTGGATTCAGATCACCTACCAATAGTATTCCACATACTGGATCACGTTAAAATTAGGAATCTTTCGAAACCTATTGAAAAATTTATAGACTGGGAGCGGTTTCAAAACCTCATTAACATAGTTAACAATTCAAAACTCGTTAACATATTGAAGAAAGAGGCCTGCTCAAGGCAAGCCATTTTGTTTTCGTGCATGTCACAGCACGGCATTGCAGTATATTAGGCTGGCGGACCACGTGACCCTTAATTTCAACAATAAAATGTGTACGGCTGCCGTGTTCTTGGACATGTAGCCTTTGATACCACGTGGCACTCAGGCTTGCTATATAATGTAACTTTCCAGCTTATGGTATGGTCAACTGATGTTTTGTGTCTGGTTAGGGTTCTGCGAAATTCCTCACTTTCGTTTCGCAATTTGAGATTTTCCCCCTGAGACACACAGCAAGTGGCTTGGGTCAAGCTTGAAGCCAGCTGCCCAGTTCTACACTTGACAGGGGAAGTCATAATTTTAGCAGCGTCGTTTTCTGCTACCCCAAATTCAGAGTTTTATAGCCACGCAGCAGGTGGAAAAGTTTAACCCTAAACTCTATACTCGTGGATATTCGCTTTTCTAATTGGAGGAGAGCAACCTCCCAGTCTGCCCGGTCCAGCCAATCATAACCTGAAGTGGGAGGTCCTTTGCCCGAAATTTGGGTAGCCAGGGCTAATGTTTATCATTCTGAGCTTGCTTGACAAAAGGACTCTGAAATTTACATTCACCGGAGGTACGCGTGTTCTGATCCCCGTAAATACACCCTGCTGTGACTGTTAACGTGCGTGTCTTAGTAAACTGTAAGGAAGCTACATCCACTAATCTGTGAAGTGTCACTACGGTGCAGTTACCATTTATATAGTGCTGACTGAATAAAAACTTAAACAGTTAATTCGTGTTGAGTGTGACTTTCTTGAGCCTAATGCCCCACTAATCACCCAAGTCGTGGCCAGTCAACACGGCCTGAGAGGAATCGAATTTCTCTACCGGGGCTAGCAGAACCAAAGAACGGTTACAATAAGTTATCAAAATTGGAATTCTCTAACTAACTGTTTGACCAAGCTTATTGGGTCCTTTCTTTCTCAGCGTAAATTCAGGGTCTGTGTTGAGGGCGAAATGTCAACGCCAAAGGAAATGCAAGCAGGGGTGGCACAAGGTTCTGTTCTTTCCCCTACTCTTTTCAACTTGTATATAAATAATGCCCCCGAAACTCATGGTGTTCAACTGGCCCTCTTTGTACGCAACACCTGTCTATATGTGAAAGGTCGCAAAGAGGGTTTTATTGTTAGAAAACTCCAGCGCGGTCTCAGCTCAATGGAGACCCGGTATGAGCGCTGGAATATAAAAATTAACGAAGATAAAGACTCGGGTGGTCTACTTCTCTTGTGGGTGTCGACCGCCTGAGTCTTGTCTTACTCTAAATAGAAGAAATAGTCCATTTGTAAATAGTGCAAAATCTAGGTGTAATCTTCGATAAGAGTAACATGGAGATTGAAGCCAAGGCCTTCAGAACATTCATTAGAGTACATTCCCTTTTCAAAAGCGAGCAATTGAGCGCTAACATTAAACTGACACTCCACAAAGCTCTTATTAGATCTGTAATGACTTATGCTAGTCTCGCCTGGGAGTTTGCGGCACTCATCTAGTGAAATTGCAGCGCCTGCAAAACAAGGGATGTTGTGAGGTACTGGTACAGGTTTCCCCTGTCATATTTCATTCCAGCAACGCTCCACAATCATTTCATTTAATTTGTCATTCATGAATCATTGCCCCAGGGGAGTGCGACAGGCTTCGCCAGCCAGGTGGAAACAGGTTTTGGACTGTACATGTACATGTAATACCGTATGTACGAGTATATTACATACTTCAATGGCTAATAATCTCGTACATATTACCTGTTTCAGGTGCAATCTGCAACTCCAAATGGACCAGAATCAGGGACAACCATCGCAAAGCATTGAATCTGCGCAACACGAAAAGTGGGCAGGCAGTTTAAAAAATGAAGCCACCCAAATTTCATAAAGAGCTTCAGTTCCTCACTCCATACCTACATGACGACAAAGATCGAATGACCAACCTCACGCCTTCAATTCCATACGCAAGCAGTAATTTGGAGGAAGAAGAGGACGAAACTGAACCAGAACACCCCCCCCCCCTACAACATTTCAAATTCCCCCATGTTCTCCAGCAACAAGTGACACACAACGTTGATCATCCGCAAACACACATTCAAACACATATGGTCGTCGGAAGCGAATTTCACGGAACTCCACGCCACAACCGACTGCAGCATCAGTTCTGGACAAATATCTCAAGTCTAAGGAAATGAAACCCACAACAAACCCACCGACTGACCCGTTAATCGAGTTTTTCATTAATATGGCTCAGACTGTGAAAACCTTTCCACTTCAGGACCAAATTCACATTAAGGGACAACTATTTCAGATGGTAAACAGTGTGGAAATGCGGCTGGCACAAGAAATGGATTCGTCGAACTCGGTCATTTCTTCGGCGACCCACAGTCCTGCCCAACACCAACAAGTCTTGAACCCATCCCCTGATATTGAGACAGCTGATGATGCTATAATACACAGTTTGCTGAAATTTCGTCGTTAAATACTGTTGTTATTTTTCAACTTACTGTCATTGCTGAAAGTTCCCATTAAATAATGCTACTTTTCCAACTTGTTCTCATTTACTTTTATTAAATCATTAAGAGTAAAAATGTCTGAAATGTATTATAATATTGGCGGGCCGGGTTCAAACCCGGGTGGGCACATGAGATTTTGTGATGGACAAAAGTGGCGCTGGGGTAGGTTTCCTCCGAGAACTTCAGTTTCCCCTGCCTATAGTCTCACAGGCCAAATAATAAAAATATTGTATGCGTACCTTAAGCATACTGCTAGTCTCTGTTGGGGTTCTATTGCATGGCTGTATTCAGTATTTTGCTTCACTAAGTGTGGTCTCAGGATGTTCAGGAGTTCTGAAAACTTAGCGTAAGTCGTACGAAAGTATTTAAAAAACTTGACGTCATCATCAACCAAATCAGGGAACAAAGTATGATACTCTCCATAATCCACTCTTTTCTTATTTATTTTGTGAACCCAAATTTTCCGTTTTCGTGTCCGTTTCTGTTCCTCTTCTGCCAGCAAGCAACTTGTTACTACAACTTCTTCCTCACTATCCATAACTGTTCACGATAATCAATAAACAAATTTCAAAGAATAGTCAAGAAGATGAACTTCACTTAACGACGTTACGCTATGAATTGAGCATTTCTTGAAGGCAAGACCACCTGTCGGAAATGTGGATGCTCCGAATCCGGTGTGCGCAGTCACACAAAAAATTCCGTGCCGTCCGTCCGATGACGGCAGATGTGCGCCTACCTTAAAACGGCGATGGCCTACTGACCTCCCCGAACCTGCTGAAGACACGGAAACCAATATTATCCATCTACAAGACCGATAGGGGATTCATCGGAGGATGAATGCTCCACCCATGCCACTCACCCACAAATTTACTTAATGCTCAACAAATAAGAGAACAGATTGTAAATACACAGTCAATAAAAAAAAATTTCAACTACTGTACGGCCGGTTGCCAAACCTGCCGGGGGTTCTGCAAAGAGAACCGAAAAGTGCATACTATGCCTATGACAATTACGTCAAGGAACCAGAGGCTAGAATGAAGAGTGGTTATTCCATGACAAGGAGAAATTTCGAGGTAACTAAATTAAACAATAAAAGGAATTCCGACTGCGCGATACATGTACCAAAATTTGAGGTAGGCAGCATGGTTTTAGTACTAGATGAGAGTTCGCCGTGGCCGATCTAAGAAGCTAGAAGCAGCTTATATAGGACCATATGAGTATTGAGGATAGAAGGGCCTAACTTCGTATTGCGCGCGAGACGGTCTAAAGAACTCAAGATACACGCCAATAGGGCTAAACTGTTTTTCACATGATTACAGATGTGGGTGTTAATCCTAGGAATAATTTTTAACGGAGTAGCAGACGGTGTAGCGCTCGACGTACGCATTGAACCGATTCAGAGTTCAACTGGGCTTTACTATCAGCACGAGGCAGATGCAAGATTGTATAACAGCGAGTGGAAGATTGTGACTTACTTAAATCTGAAGCAGACCAGCGACAATGTTGATACTGTAAGTAAATATACTGAACAGATTGTAGAATTTTGCAGAAAGCATGACGACACGTTATGGCTAAATTTGACAGAATGCAGGACGACTATTAACGATGCTAACAGAAAGCTAAGGAACGTGAAGGAAATGAGGAGCCTTGTTTCCCAGCTCACTAGGACCGAGAAGGTCGTTCCTAGGCGCAAATAGGACTTTTCAATTCCATAGGACAGGTATCATATTCTCTTTTCTGGTCGTGAGACTCGGATAATGAAGAGTTTTATAATACTAAAATTACGCATCTGGAAGGGGAGCAGGCTGACTCAATAAAGTTATCACGGGAACAGGTGGTAGTTAAGTCCGCCCTAAAATCGGTTAACAAGACCTTAAACGATGTTTCTAACAATGAATTAATTTTAAAAAGGGGATTCAGAAATTAAGGAGTTCATTAACAACGAGAACGGCCTGATAAAGGAAAAGTATGAGTACACCGCCATGTTATTGGCATTGAACGACTATGCTATTCAGATACAGAGATCCTTAGATGAAGTGACGGATGAGTACATTTTCATTCAGTCTTGCTTGAATGTGAAGCAGGGGATCATGCAACCACAGGTACTGTCGCCAAGCCGCCTGCTTGAAGTTCGGAAATCCACTCAGGATGGATTTCCCCGCGACTCACAAGTACTCGTTACCCTTAGCGAAGCTTATCTATATCAATTAGTTAATACTGTAGCATAGAAGTATATATAATTGATAATAATCTTGTCCCAGGAGGAATGGACCAAACTTCGGGAGGGTGTTCCTGATGTTAAAGTATGCCGATATAACCCAAAACACCTATGTCCAAAGTTGAACGGTTACGGAGATAATGGCCAGAGAAAAGTGTGGTCTTCTTGCAGGTCCACACATTATACCTATCAGCTGTGACTGTTATCTGTTTGTCCTTGAGTGTGGTGATGTCATGCTAGCCGTAATCTCATGCCCTACTCACAGAGGATTACAGTGTATCTTGCGTTAGCGTCGTGAATGGTTAGTAATTATGTGTACTTGTGCGGTGTTGCTGAAATGCCTTTTGTGTTTTCACACGTTGAGTATTGTGATATGCATTTTGTGTATGGATTTTGCGGTGGCAATGCACGTGCTGCTGTTGAAGAGTACCAAAGGCGTTTTCCCGATCGAAGGATTCCATCTCGACGTGTATTTA